TTCTTGCTGAGATTAATTGAAAGATGATACTTCTCAATGTATTTTTACTGCTTTTTTTTTTCTTTTTTTAAACCAGATGATGTCAGAATGGTCTTTTATTTCCAAGTATCCAGTCTATTCATACTGCTCCTGGTGTGAAAGCAAAGAGAACAGGGGCAGCACATCCAAAAGCAGAGTGAGCTGCTCTGCTCGGCACCAGGATGCCCAGCTAGAAAACAAAAAAAGCAGTTGAGGGGCAGCTGAATGTGGAGCAGCTCTTCTCGCTGCTGACATCCCCCGTGAGTCGCACAGAAGGCGATAAAGCCACTTTTCTGGGGAGAAGTCGCTCAAATGTAATGACGCAGAGTGAAACTGGTGCTAATTTGGAGGTGAGGCATGAAGAAACTGGGAGAAACTGTCATCAGATACTTTTTGGTGGTGTTTTTTTAAGGCACGCTGGCTGATGTTGTAGCCTGTGCCACTAATCACAGGTTTCTTGAATCTGCCTACTAGGAGGAGCCTAATTAATGTGGAGCCTAATTAATATGTGAGTACTGTGTTGACCCTCTTACAGGGATCTGGGTTTGGTCTCTGTGTTTCTCTGCTGCCTTTTCCCGTCTCATTTTACAATAAAGGGGCAAAGAACATATCTTCTACGGACATCGTTTGTGGCCAGCTGCCCCTAGCGCTGCTGCCCGTGCCTCCCTCTGCGCGGCATGGCTTGTGGCGCCCTGCTGAGGAAGCCGATGCGGGTTTGCAAGGCTGCTTTTAGTTCCCTGAGCAGCTTTGTGGCTGCAGGGATGGTCCAGCCTGCTGTCGTCCCCAGTGCATCCCAGTGTGGCTGGGACTGGGGTAGCAGGTGCCTCACGCCACGTCTCACGCCAGGTTTGAAGCGCTGCGTTTGGAGGTTTCTTTTTGGTTCCTGGGGCGCTCAGCTGAGCGTGGCGATCTGCGCTGCCAAGGGCACGTCTGTCTTTCCATTGCATGCCAGGAGAAGGGTCCTGTGACGCAGCTGTCAAACCAAAGCCAAAGATCGATATCCCTCCGGGATGGCTGTTGTTCCCATGGCCGTGCCCCCAGATGGCATTTGTGTGCCTGTTCCTTTGGCGGACCCTGCTTCTCAGCCCGGCCAGGGCGTTGTGAAAATGTTTAAAGGGCTTTGGATTTGAAAAGGAATAAATTCTGCTCTGACCTTCTGTTGAATTCTTTAGTTTCCCACAAAATTGCAGATTCAAAATACAAATTATCCCCTGCTCTCTCTGCTTCAGGCCCTGAAGATCAGCTCAAGGCACAGCAGGAGATCTTCAAAGAGCACGTCCAAAGGCTCCGAGTACAACCCTTGTAGCTGCCCCTCGCAGGATGCCATTAGTGACTCGGAGTGGTGCTCAGGGCTGCAGCAGCTGTTGACGGTGGGAGTTTGCGCTCGGAGCCATCACGAACTCCGAATTATCGTGTTGCAAAATGACCAGATGGGCTTCGGGAAAGCTTGGCTGCCTTGTGGTTATTTGCAGTGTCGAGATGGGGTCTTGCTCAGTGAGAAGCAGGAGAGTTGCCTCGCCAGGGCTGAGATGAGGAGTCTGTTTCTCACCAGGTGTCGTGGAGGTTGGGAGCGTCGCAAAGACCAGCGCGACTGGAACGGGCAGGGCTGAGCTTCTGCCTGGTTCTCGCCACGGCTGAGCCCACCTAGCTCTGCCACATAACCCGCCTGCTCCCGTCCTGCATCGCTGGCACTAAACGTGGAAAACGTCCCGTTGAAGTTCTTAGCTTTTGTTTAAAACCAAACCAGCAAAACCCCACCACCTTGCTGCGTCGCTGCTGCCCTAGCTTATTGCAGCACGTGTATTCTGGGTCGATTATTTATGCTGAGCGTTGCAGGTTGGTGGCTTCTGCTGGAAAGAATTAAATAGTGAGTGTGACCTTGTTGTCTTTACTAGCAGGTGATCTGTGTCAAGCTGTCCTTGAGGTGCCCTGGGCAAGCAGGAGGTGGCCAAAACGTCAGGCGTTTGTGGTGAGACTTTCAGATCAGTTGCAGATAGATGCAGGAAGAAATGCCGGTGGTTGCTCATCAGGGCTTTTTTTTTTTTTTTAAATTTAATTTCTTAGTCTTATTACTTTCCAGCAGTTGTTGCTATTGTTTGTCCTAACACAGCTCAGCCGAACGCCCTGCAAGCACAGCAAATGGTTTTCTGCTTTGGTATCAGCAGCGTCTTGGACTTGAACCAGATTATTATCACCGCTTACAGAAATAAAAGGAAACTCTGCGCTTCAAGGTCGCTGACAAAAATACTTCGCTGAAGTTTGGCTCGTTGGCTTAGCAGCTTTAAGAGATGGCGAGCAGTTTTGAGTAAGCGTATTCTCGGCCCGTAACGAACAGCAACTGAATGCCAAAAAAAGAAGAGAGAAAGAAAGCCCTGTGCAAATGCATTTGGGTTTCCTCCGGCCGAAGCATGACTGAGTTCTCAATGCAGCTTTGCTGAGCTGGAGCCTATTTTAAAATCCCGAGCAGTGGGTGCTGCCTGTTGCCTGGAAACCTCCTCCCAGCCTCGGGCACTCTCAGCCTAATCATAGCCGTCGGCAGCCTTTATTTATTTCCCCTTCCAAAATGTCATCCCAGGCTTCTGGGTTCGTGTTTTTGTGTTTGCTTGTTTTAGTTTATTATTTAAAATGAAAAGACACTAAAGCGTCGCCGTCAAACTCCGGTGGCTTTCTGTGGGAACGGCTCCCTTGGCTGTCACTGCATTGCAGGGGTGGGAACTGGCATTTTAAAGCTCTATAAGGTGGTGGCTCGGGAGGCCTCTGTGGGAGAGGAGAAGCGAGGATGAGGATGGGGCTGAGAGCCCGAGAGAGCCCCCCAGGCTTTGCTGGTGTGTGCGGTGGCTGCCTGCACCTCATGGCGGTCTCCTCCTCCAGAGGAAAACCAAGGCTGAATGACTCTGAGCCCTTTCCCCGCACACACGGGTCCAAGTTCCCCTTCCCGGGGCGGTTGCACCATCCCGTGCCAGCTCGTGATGCCTGGGTCAGCTTTTCTCCCTCTGCGCTGGGGACTCATCCAGCAGTTGGGGTCTGTCCCTGCAGAGGTGTTAGTCTGAGCTTAACCATCTCCGTGCGGTGACAAATGAGCAGAAGAAGGTTTAACCTGGACATTTCCCTGCCTTGAGGGAGACCTTTATAATTCACCTCAACTCTTGGCCACCTTAAAACCTTAACTGACGCCGTCTCTCCCACGGGAAAGCTTTAAATGATTGCTATTTCCGCTTAGTTAGAGAGCGCGATCGATCCCGATGGGATGAAGCAGAATTGATCGAGGGAGCCTGGCTACGATTCGGCTGCGTTTCTGTCCGGACCGTCCCTTGGGAGAGCGCTGGGCTAAAATCATCTGCAAGTTGGTAACAAATGCTCACCAGGACAGCCAGAAAGTTCGTACGTGAGCCACAGGAGCTGCTCCAGCTGTTCACGAGTTGTTCTTGTGATTTAAATGGTTTATTTTACAAAGCTGAGAATATTTGCTCTAGCAAAGGCAGAACTAAAAGGAGGCTTTAGCTCGAGATGCAGTTGAACAAAGGTTTGTGTTTTGTTTAGCAATCTTCTTGCAGGCATAGAGCGACACGCAAGGCTTATCATGTCATTTCTTTTATTTTCCTCAAGTTACTTTGAAGTTTGACAGGCTCTTCCTAGAGTACACTCTTGTCTCGCAGCCGCGACGCTGGGGCATCAAGCCCCAGATTGTCAAGGACAGACAGAAGAAACAGAGCCAGGCAAAGGACAGACACTTTTTCCATCCCCACTTTCCACCATGTGCTGGGTGATTAAGGAAAACAAGAGTCAGTTACCGATGAAGCTGTGAGGGTGAACGAATCATGCTCTGAAATCGCATGTCCTTGCTTCTCCATGGGAGGATGAGAGTGCTTGAGCAGCTGCAGGGACAGGGTCTGATCCCTGGGTTTGGACAGGGTTGTGTAGAGAGGTTGAAATATTTGTGCAAATATTTGTGTTTACTTGTGCAAATTCAAATTCTCCTGTTCTGAACGACTAGAAACAGAAATGACCTGTCAGCTCCTCTCTTCAGCGCAGATCAACCATCAAGCTTTTCTGTATGACACAAGGCATAGACCTGTTGTCTTCTCGGATGTTTATTGCCTTAGTTTCTAAGCCAAGCTTAATACAGGTGATCAGCTTGGTCTTCCTCTGGGGGGAGGGAGGAGACAGAAGGAAGAACAAAGTGCATGTGGGGGAGGCAGGAACAGGAACAGCAGAGGAACGGTGGCAAACTCTGTGGTCACAGATGGTAAAGCAGGAGGGTTCCTCGCCCTGCCTGTGCCACCAGCACCCCCGGACGCCTGAGCGAGCAAAAGCCGCGCAATAGCAAAGGAATAAAAGATCTAGTGCTTGAGCGAGGGGAGTGCAGAGTCTGTCAGGCTGAATTCCGCGCTGGGTGGTTTAAGAAAATAAAATTAAAAAAGATAAGTACTAAACCACACGGCGGTGGGTTTTCCTTTGCTGATCTCTCCCAGCTATGTGTAGCTGGAGCTCACATGAGTGTGTTTTGTGTAGCCTAGTAGCTCGGCTCTCCCAGTTCCCCACCAAGATGAGTGGTTTTCCCCCTCTGTGTTCTGTTGTTGGTGCCTGTCGGAGGGTTTGCGCTGTGGGCTGCCGGAACACAAGCTCTTGCGGGCAGCACTGGGGTCTGTGCTGAGCTCAGGGGCAGAATTGCATCCCTGCTCCTGCTGGCCACACCGCTCCTCATACAAGCCAGGATGCCATTGGCCTTCCAGGCCACCTGGGCACACTGCTGGCTCCTGTTCCACTGGTTGTCACCCAGCACTGCCAGGTCCCTCTCTGTGGGCCGCTCCCCAGCCACTCTGTCCCCGGTGGGCAGTGCTGCCAGGGGTTATTGCGGCCAAAGCGCAGGACCCTGCCCTCGGGCTGGTTGAAATTATTGGGCTTGGTGGTTCCTCTTATCTGTCTGACTTGCGAATTGAGTGCAGTTCTGCTAATCTGGCTTCTTCTCCTTCCCAGAATGAAGAGAAGAGGAACCTTTCCCTGGGGGGCCATGTGGGCTTCGACAGCCTCCCCGATCAGCTGGTCAGCAAGTCTGTCACACAAGGCTTCAGCTTCAACATCCTCTGTGTGGGTGAGCACGGGCCGCTCTAAACACACGTGGGCTGAGCTGATGAGGTTGGGACCAGGATTTCTTGTGTGTCCTGCTCTGCCACGGGCCTCGGCGGTGCCTTCAAGCGATGTGGAAATGCATAACTCTTTTTAAAAAACATAATTAATTTTATAAACTCAAGCTGTCTGGAGCTTGATGCTTCTGAGTTGTGACACTGCCGAGTGACTGTTGAATTCTCGTTGCCCGAAATTAGAAATAGATTTGGGAAAAGCTTTATTATATCACCTTTCTGCCTTTAGTAATGTGTCGGAGGGAGGGAGCGGATGCAGGACTGTCCAGCTGTGTGCTGAGCTGAGCTATGGGTGCAGGTGTAGAAGCTGCTGAGAGGTCCAAGTGAATGAGTGTCATGGGTCAAACCAGAAGAATTTTTGTAGCTGGTGAGATGTTTCTCATCTCCTCTGCTGCAGCAGCTTTGCAAAAGGAAGGATTAAGGGAAGACTCTGTGTGGCAAGTTACGTATTTCTGTTTGCAAGCTGGGGTGGCTGGCACGAACAGCTTCTCGGTGAATATAGTGTCCGAGGTGCTTGTGCCCTACCTGAGCCACTTTTGCACGTCCAAACCACAAGTAAAACGCACATCGGGAACCACAGTTGACCATCGTAGACTTGATCCTCAGGGTAATTGCAGCGGAGAGCATCAGGTTTTTAATTAGTGTTGTTCTTGGAGACATGAGAATGGATACTGATCTGGCCATACCATTTGTGAAACACTGGGAATAATTACCACTTTTTTTTCTTTTTTCCCCTTTTGGACAAGAGTTAAGAAACCACAACCCCCTGTACCCTTATTTGCTAGTTCCTGCTCTGCCCAAAGCTGAAGAGGAGAACATGGCTTACATCAGTAGTGAGTTCTCCATACGACTTTCCTTTCAGGTTCATCTAGAGCACCAGGCTGGTTTTACTTCCTTGCACAGCTCTTTAACCGTAGCTGGTAGGAAGCAGTATGTACCTCTGCCCTGTTCCGAGCACCACACGATGCTTGAAGCAGGGAACAGCCCAAACCCCTTGCTTGGCAGCAGGCATAGCACCTTCCTCAGTCAGAAACTTTCTTGCCTTCCTGTTCTCCTGTGAGCCAGATGTCCTGGGATGGAGCTTGGTTTTGTGATGCATCCCACGTGTCCTTCAACGGCTGTTGGAACGGGAGGCTGCAGATGGGAAACTTCTCCTAACTTGTCCCTGCTGGTTCTCCAGCAACTATTCTTTCCCTGACACCAAGAACTACTCTCTTGCTACCAGGTTTCTCTGCCAGTCCCTCTCAACTCCATGTTCTCTCTCTGTGTATCTCAGAGGTCCGAGCTGGCAGAATTTTTTTCTACTACTGGAAAGGTGAAGATGCCTCAGAAAGGCCGTGCTTCAGTGCAGGGCTGTGCTGAGGTCTGTAGTAAAAATGCATTGTGGAACGTGGCCCCTGAAAACATCGCAGTGCTTTGGCCTCTGTGCCACAGATGCTATACAGCATTTTGATTATTGGTTTCACCATGTTTTCCCCTGAACAACATGCTTGTCTCCCCTTGGCTGATCTGGCAGGAAGAGTCATGAGGCAGCCTTGAAGGAAGCAGAAATACTGAAGGGGAAGCTCCAGAAACCGAGAGCAGTGCGAGATGAAACCAGCTGCGTTGCAGACACCATCACCTGGGCTGGGTTGCAAGATCTCCCCGTGCTGCTGGAGCTCTTTGGGGCAGAGCAGCACCTCTTGCTCTCTGTCAGACAGCTGCTGTCTCGCCGAGATGGTTCGGTTGCCTGTGGAAGCTCATGACAGATGTTTGTGGCTTATTTCCTCCAGTTTGGCCAACTCTGCACAGGTGGTCCTGTCATCTCAAAGCATAGACGTGCTGCCTGTGACATGTCTGAGCAGAATGGGACCGTCTTGCACAGTTTGCACAGATCTCAGGAACTCTCCTCGTGTGGAGCTTGCTGAGAGCAAATAAGCCACAGAGCTGACTGGTGTGGCTGAAGTGGGAAGGAGTTACAGCAGAACGGGCTTTAGTCCTTTGGCGGTTATTAATGGGGCCTGTGGGACTACAGGGTTAAGGCAGTGGAAGAGGGACAAGCTGCTTTAAGGCTTCCAGGCAGACCAAAGTTCAGCACTGGAATCATGAAACCTTCGCCCAGTGTCTTTTCTGCTCTCAACAGAGATTTTTCAGTCTGGTGGGAAGTTGTCCCAGCAGGTCCGGAGCTGTCTGTCTGCTTCTCTGCATTGAAATAGGCCCCCAGACTCCCTCCTCACAGGAGTCTCCACTCTGGGGGAAAAACAAACCAGATCCTCAGAGACTTTATTGGCAGGATCAAGTGAAGAGAGAAGGTGGTAGAGGAGCCGTCTAAAGTTGGGAATCTCTCAGAAAGGAGCGAGAGGAAACCTCCTTGTCAGGCTCTGCTGTCCCCTCCGCAGCACACCGAACGCCATCGCTTCGTGCTGATCTGCAGCGTTACCCGGGGCTGTCGCTGTGGTTGGGACAGCCAGCAGCTGGCCCAGGTGGTCCTCGGCAGGAGGAGCCAGCTGAGTTTTGCTCTTCGTCTGAAGTTTCAAAAGAGTCTGCTAAAATTATGTTCTCCTCAGCTTCTCTGGTGCAGGACCCCAAGCCAAGCGAGGGCACATGGACAGGGAAGCAGCGTGTTTTGCTGTGCTCTGTGGTCCTCACCGGGGAGATGAGACCAAAGCGCTCTGTGTTAGCTTTGTGTGAAGCATGGGAGGCCTTCAAGAATGTGGGTACCTTTGTGACAATTACACGTCTGGCCACAAGCTATTCGTAGTAACCTTTCACAGGGTAATTTAGTCCTGCTCTGTAATTAATGTTCTCTGAAGTACTGGGGACAAATTCGTGCTGCAGGGAGCTGATGATTTCTCCTTCCTAGGTGAGACGGGCATTGGGAAATCCACGCTAATGAACACCCTGTTCAACACCACGTTTGAGACGGAGGAGGCCAGTCACTACGAGAGCGCGGTTCGCTTGCGGCCACGGACCTACGACCTGCAGGAGAGCAACGTCCACCTGAAGCTGACGATCGTGGACGCGGTTGGATTTGGGGATCAGATAAATAAAGACGAGAGGCAGGTGTCGTGCCATCTGCTTGGGGTTTCTGGGCTTGCCTCTGATGCTCAGGCACGAGCTGCCTGCAGT